CCGATTCAAGATTGAGCACGACCAAGAGCTAATGCTGGAGCTCATCCGCCTCAAACCCTTCTCAGCAAAGCGAGGTACGACAGGACATGTCTGGGAGGAAGTTGCCAAAGGAGTATCTAGTGCCATACAGGTTCAACTCAACGTGAAGCAAGTTCGCGATCGTCTCAATCTGCTCAAGGCCAAATTTAAGGCCGACGAGCTATCATCTGCACGTGCCAGTGGTGTAGAAGAAGACCTTCATGCAGTCAACATCCAAAGCCACTACAACGATCTAAATGGACTCGTCCGTGACTACATTGAACTCGAGCGCATGTATTTAGACGAAAAGAAGGCCAAGAAATCGGCTAAGACTAGGAAGGAGGAGGATCTAGCTAACAGTGCTGCTGCCCTTATCAACGAGAGCAAGCTCCGAAGATCGCAACGTGCAAACTACGACACGGAATGCTCGTCTTCTGACGAACGGAGTAGTGAGAGTGAAACTGAGAGTAGGTATACGTCCTTAAAGTTCCGTGTCACTCCTCTTGTTAGCGATCGAGCGTAGTAAGCCAGCTCACTGTCAAGTATGTGGGCCTCGTTTGCATTCATGGTGTACGTGAAGCTGCTGCTGAGTTTTCTCAAGGCGTCAAATTAAGCTATGAGAGGAGTGATTTTAGTTACAACACTCCAACTGGAATGTGATCACTCTATACCGTAAAAAAGCGCTGTTTTGTTCGGTTCGATTGAATTGTTCGACTGGAAGTTTGGACTGTTCGGTTATGGTTAGGTGAAAAGTCATATGATTTAACCGGAAAATGCGGTTTTCGGTTTTTCTAAAGACCTCTAATGCTCGGGTATACATGGTGGGTTCGGGGCCGGTCCAAACAGTCTTTTGCCAGGTATCCGAGGGAGAGGCGATCGGATCGATCCACCAATTGCCGCTCTGGGATCGCCTACTTGAGTATTCAGTAGTCACTACAGTACTGTGTAATGAACGTGATTTCAACGACGACTCTACACATGCTTGTGGCATTTGCTTACTACGTAGCGGCTGCAGTAATCAGAAAAATAATTCTAATACGTGCCCCCCCCCCCCCTATTAAGATGCAAAAATGTAAAGCTTGATTTGCAGCGCGTCCTGCGCGTTTACTTCTGCACGTCTTGGTAACTCTGACACTGACCGCAAAACTAGCTACGCTACGCTACCATTCCTTGTCACTAGACTTCACAGTGGCTTTCCTCGTAAACCTCCCCTAGTCTAGAGCTCTCGGACTCGGAACCTTCATTCACTTATCCATCAATCGATGCCGCACTTTAACACGCCCCCCCCCTCCACGCTGGCGTGGAACTCACTTGGAGATGCCTTCAACCTTGGCGTTAGCTTCTTGCTCGTCAACTGCAACTCTGAACCGCACCCGCCGCTGCTCACGCGGTGTTGGGCCAATGTCGGGCTTCATACCGACGAGTGGCTTGAGCTTGGCTAGTCGTGCGTATCCCAGAGGCTTCGTCATCAAGTCCGCTGGGTTTTCAACGCCATCGACCTTCCAAATTTTCACTGCTCCTTGAGCCACTTTCTCCCGGACATAGTGGAACCTCAGTTCGATATGCCTTGTCTTCCTGCTGTACGTCGGGTTCGACGCCAGCGCAATAGCTGCTTGGTTGTCAACACCGAGATTGAAGCACACCTCGGTGGTAGGCACAATCTCTGTTAAGACGTTCATCAGTGCTTGCCCTTCCATGCACGCCTCGCACGCGGCCACGTACTCAGCCTCGGCCGTGCTCTGCGCGACGATCGTCTGCCTGCGAGCTGCCCATGGAACTGGCCCACCGGCAATCAACAGTGCGTACCCCGTGACGCTCTTCCTGGTCTCCGGGCAATTCCCCCAGTCCGAGTCACAGAACCCTTCGATGCAAAGCTTAGACCTCGCAGCCTTCAATACCATAGGATTCTTCTTCGGCTTCTTGAAGCAAATGCCATGACCAGTAGTTGCCACCATATACTTCAGCACCCTCTTGAGTGCTCCGCCATGATGCACCGTCGGATTCGC